CTGCTGAGGAGCTCCAGGCTTAACTTCGTGGGATTTAGTGGTAGGGGTGAAGAGGAAGGTAAGAAACTGCACCAAGGCCCAGGATCCATGCGAAACAGCACCATGCACCCTGGAGGAGTCAGGCCAAGAGTCCTAATAATCCTGCCCCAGTGGGAATATCTTGTACCCTCCCACACCTGGGCTCTCTGAAGACTTCCGGTTCACTGGAAGAGATGGAGTTTATCCACTCCAAAGGGAGAAGCCAGCTTCAGGCTTTGTACCCATTTTGGCCATGTTCTCTACACCTGCCTCATCCTCCCGCTGACATTCTCTTACCCTCCTATCCCTTGCCCTCCCCTGATCCCCACCTGCAGGGAGCACGGGGCGGTGGGGAAGAGTTACCTCCACCTTTACGCTAGCAATCCCAAATGAAAATGAAAAAGAAATAGAGGTGGCACAAGAATTAAATCCCCTCCCAACAAATTCCCAGCAAACTCCCCAGAACTGTGCACTCATTAATTAATTCAGGCATTTTTTCTTACATTTAACAAACACTTATTGAGTGCCTGCTGTGTGCCACATGCTAAGCACTGGAAAGCCAGGGTCCTTGCTAGACATCGGCTTGAGCTGAGAAGCTCCAGTGGGTTTCATGCTGGTCCACAACCCTCAGAGACATCCAGGATGCCACAGGGCTGCAATGGACAGCATCACAGGATGGGTCACACCACTGGGAGATGTAATTCATTTTCCAAGCAGGACTTAGGACTCTTTTAGCTGCATGGAGGTTCTCACTGTGGTGTCATCTTCTGTGCATGGGTTTGACCAGCCATCATACATTCATAATTCTGCTCCCCCCACCTCCTGCCTGATTTTTCAGCCAAACCTTCCATTTCTATCAGGTCACAGTACTTGGGTCGCTGCTTGTTTTCACAGCTGTTTAAACTTCAAAGCCAAATCTCAGCTGTGATTGATTCCCTGACAGCTCACCACACACTCTGCACCCCAGCCTACCTCTTTTAAGCTGCAGGCCCCCGTCAGACCAGGATATGGGTCTCTAGGGCCCTGTCTGTCAGGGGCTTCCACATGGGTGCTTCTTGGTCCCAAACATTGGCACGGCCCCCCCGCCCTTTGCTACAGAGAGCAAGGGGATGAGCACAGCTTGGGAACCGGCGGCACCCTCTGGGGTGTGAGAGAAATCAGAGGGCTTCTAGCAGAAGGGCCCTGGGAAGCCTGTGGGCAGGGGATGACTGAGCCAGAAAAAGTCATCAACCTGTCCCTGGGTGTCCAAAGGGTCCCTGGTGCTGAGCCGGGCCAATCAGAACACCCTTGTAGCAATTACACAGCCATTATCAGCTCCGATGAGGGCCGGGCCCTGTGGTCAGTGCTAGCTATACAGGCCTCAGCTCGCTGAATGCTCACCACTTGCCTAAGCAGCAAGGATAGGAACAAAAAGAGAAAGTGGCCCCTCCCTCAAGAAGCCTGTGTTTGAAGAAGACATTAACGTGGTGCCCACAAACACCCAGTAGAGCCACCTTGTGTTTCTGGGAGCCAAGGGCAAATGCCAGCTCATAACCAGCTTGCACAGTCCATGTCAGGAAGGCTTTGACTATGGGTAAATTAGACTCAGCAATGACATTTCTACATTAGAAGGAATGGCAGAGATCTTCTAGTCTGTGAAGGCCCAGAGAGGTGTAACATCTTGCCCAAGGGCACACAGCTATTAAGTGGAAGAATGGGCTCCAACTGCTAGTCCACTGACCCCGGCTGCGTCTCAGTCAGGAGTGGCGTGGCACCCAGAGTCTTACCTCTCACACCCTCTAATAGCAGCTGTGCTCAGTTTGGGAAGGGGTGGAAGGCAGGGATTTATATTGGGACAGGTGGAGAATGAGCCCTGTGCTCTTTGCATTCAAAGCCAAAGCCGCGCTGGGGGAGAGGCCTACAGAGAGCACGGTGGAGGTAAGTGGAGGCCTGGTTGCCCAGGTGAGTGATTCTGTGCCCCCGCTTGTCCTTCTTCTCACCGTCTCTGTTGTTTCTCTTCTCAGGTATTAATCAATGCCTCCCCAGCCCGACTCACCATTTTACCAATTTCAAGAGATACAATTAAAAGTTACTGCTAGCATGGGTAATGTTCCAGAACCTAATTTAGCTGCAACACTATCTCCCATCCCCTAGCCTGGCCTGTCCCAGCTGATTGCCCCCCGAGGCCCAGTGCCCAGACTGATGCCATGCACATGAAGCCCATGCACCTCCACAGTGATCTCTCCCACACACTCCCAAACCCATGTCACACTGCTCACAGATCCCCTAATACTTGCTATATCAGAGAGCCCAGATTCTCCTCCCCTGTGTCCTGCCATCCTCTATGAGGGAGCCTGTATGCCCTCCGGAGAGTTACCCATTCCAGAGTGGACCCTGCCCTCCCAGATGCCTCTTGGGGAAGTTGGAGACTTGAGAGTGGGAGCAGCTGGGAGCGGGGTGCTTCTCTCTGGAACAGATGGAAAGCTGGCCATGGGGTAGGGATGTGTGCAGAGAAAATGAGGCAGAGTAGGGCTGGGGTTCTCTTAGGGGGTTTCCTGGACAGGGAGCTGATCTATTTGAAGGCTATTCAGGTTGGAGGGAAAGGCAGCCTATCTTCAAGCCACGTAGGAAGGGACTGGGGAAGTAGCGGCAACAGCTGGTCCTTCCAAGGCCCCAAAAGTGTCACCTGGGGGCACACAGTTGCCCCTACAAGCCTTGCTGGGCCCCGGTCCTCCTGCATTGGCTCTCCTCAAACCACAGTAAGCCCCCTCACTCCTTTTCTACCAGGCCTCCAGGGACCACTAGCTGCTCATACAGACACCTTCTTTCCCAACCCCCCTCTCCACTTAGAGGTCTGAGGGAGGTGCCCACCAGCCTAAGCTCCGGGGAAGCCCCAGTATACCCCAGGGGAGCCCAGTTTTTTCTCTCTTTCCATGGCCCCCCATCCCTCACACACCTGTGTCTGGAGGAGGCACCTTACACCGAGGAGCTTCCTGCCCCAGCAGCTGACCAGCCCCCAGGGTGGGTATTCCATTCCCTGCCCCCTTTTCTCCCCATCTTCCTGCAGCTGCCCATTCTCTAGCCTTGCAGATAAACACAGAGTTACCAGGCCTCCAGTTTGTTCTGCCAGCCCTGCCTGTGCCTTAGCCTGACCTGCATAGGGAGGACAAGCAATCTGATGGCCCATTCTCCCGTTCTACCCTACCCAGTGGGCCATGTGGCTATCTGCAAGGCTGTCACCCCCAGCTAGCCCCAGGGCCCTGCCAGCCTCTGCTCCCCTGCACAGAGGGCAGCCTTGCCGCCCTAGCCTCTCAGCTAGACCCTGAGCTCTTTTGTCCTCTGACCTCTCTCTGTCATTGCCTGGCCAAGCCCCTCTGGCAGGCACTTCTCCATCTTCTCCAAGCTGTTCTGAGCTGCTACTCATGTTCCATCCTCAAAATCTCTCTCTGTCTGTCTGTCTGTCTGTCTCTCTCTCTCTCTCTCTCTCTCTCTCTCTCTCTCTCTCTCTCCCCGCCCCCCCTTCATCAGCAGGGAGGTGAGAAGGAGGTCAGAATGAGAGAATGTTTTGCTGTCACTTCCTGCTTTCACTTAACTATTAAAGATCAGGCTGAGGTGGGGAGGAGGGAGGTGAGACAGAGTAGGTGGAATCAGAAAGTGGGAGATAAAGAAGAGGTGCAGGATGAGGCTAAAACTGTGGGCTACATGGGGGGTGCATGGGGAAGAGGAGGAGGAAGGCTCAGAATTTGGACTGGGGCAGCTAGGCATTTGCCCATGGAGGGACAGCTGTAGAGTCTGGGGGTAGAGAGCAGAAGGGACACAAGCCTGCCCCCACTGTCTCAGCCGCTTTTCTCCTGGGGAATAACTCAGAATACGAGCAAGTGGGGAAAGGAGCCTATCCCCTCCAGTAGCAGTGGACAGAAGCCTCTGCCTGAATAAGGACCACAGAGGGCTCCCTGGGAGGAAGGTGGGCCCCAGCCATGCTCTTTGCCTGCCCTGTGTCTTGCCAGGGCAGCGAGGGGCTCAGGGGCTCCCTCACTAGTTTGGGAGAATCTCAGTGCTACGAAGGCTAGAGGTTGAGAATGAAAAGTAAAGCCTGCTACAAGCTGAGCATGGCATGGCATGATGGCTTGTGAACATTGAAGAGCAGACAAAGAATGGGGGCTTGGGGAACTGTGGTGAGGGGTGCAGTCCACTGGGAATGTACAGACCTAGGAAGGAGGTGGGGGTGGTCCTTGCAATTGCACCTTTTGCCAACAAATAGGATTAGGATCTGCTCATTTAGGGCGCTGAGATAGTTTTGGGCTGAGCTATCTTGGTCTAGGCCTGGGAATAAGGTCCCCTCCCTGCATCCTGGATCCACCCCACCCCCACCCCATGCTCTGAGCAACTAGTACTGGGTGGTGGTACTAAGAACAGTAGGCAGCATCTTCGGAGGGAAGGGCCACCCCCCAGAGGGCACAGGTATCAGAAGGGGATTATGGTATGTCATATCTACAGGCTTGGCTTAGAGCTTGGGGATGAGGAATTAAACCCCTCTCCTTCCAGAATCTTTAACCTCCCTTCTACCCATTTTCTCCCCCTCCCCCTGCTAGCAAGAGGAGACCAAGCTGGTTCACAGTGACATCCATGGTCTGAGGGAGGGAGACACTTCCTCATGCCCCACCTAGGGGATAAAGATTAGAGTCCTCTCTGGGTACCTCCTCCTACAGCAGAACAAATTTAATGAGGACTCAGGTTGGGCCAGAAAGACAGCTGGGACCTGACTCTGGCCTGGGCTCTCTGGGCTGCTCTTGAATGTGTGGTCAAGGCTTTAAGGAGTCTGGCAGCATAGGGTGGGTCCAGATCACCCCTCAGGGATCTGTGGCATTCTGAGGTTTGGACGCCGTAGTGATGTCAGCAGTGACTATGAGGCTTCCCCTTTAACCGAACCAGTGGGAGGAGAGGGGTTGGAAAGGCTCAGAGATGCTTGACTCTGTCCCCGTGTCCTCCCTTTGTCCTCGATTCATCCCTGAGATGCAGGGAGAGGGCAAAGACCCTGCTTTTCAAGCTCTGAGGCTGGTAGAGAGGAAGGTGGGGGTGAAGTTTGTCCATGGCCCAAAGTACCCAGCAGGCTCATGAAGTCAGACTGCAGAGCTGTACAGAACCTTAGAGACATTGGTCCAACCGCCCGTCTCACAGATGAGGAGACCGAAGCCTAGAGAACTGAGGCTGCTTATGGTCCGTGGCCGAACACATCGGTCTCTTGACCACACCCAGGGTCGGAACCTGAGTCGGCAGCCAGTTTTCCTCTGGGTAGAGAGATGGGGAGTGGGTCAAGATGAGGGCTGAGAGCCCCTAATGGCGGGCACAGGAGCCAGGGATGGGAAGAAGGGAGGCTCAGGGTAGCCAGTCCTAGTAGCTGGGAATTAGTCTTGTAACATTTCATGCTTCTCTGGCTGTTTCTAAACTAGGTGTCAATTCACAACAGGCTTCAAACGTCCCAGCACAACTCCGGGCTGGGGGCCAAGAGGGGAGCTCCGGTGCCACTGCCAGACCCGCAGCCTAGCCCCTTGAGAGAGCAGCTCCCGCCGTTGCTGCCGCCGCCACCCACACCCCCAGGGACCCTGGTGCAGTGCCAGCAAATTGTCAAGGTCATTGTCCTGGACAAGCCCTGCTTGGCCCGCATGGAGCCCCTGCTAAGCCAGGCTCTCTCCTGCTACGCCTCTTCCTCCTCCGACTCCTGTGGCTCCACACCCCTGGGTGGCCCAGGCTCTCCTGTCAAGGTCATCCACCAGCCCCCGCTGCCCCCTCTGGGTGGCCGGCTCTCCTGTCAAGGTCATCCACCAGCCCCCGCTGCCCCCGCCCCCACCCCCCTACAACCACCCTCACCAGTACTGCCCGCCTGGCTCCCTGCTGCACCGGCGCCGCTACTCCAGCGGCTCCAGGAGCCTGGTGTAGACTCTGCCCCATGCTGCCGTTCCAGGAGGGCTGCCACCAGGGTCCCTGGACTGCACCCAGCAGCCCCGACTGCCCCTTCTCTGCACCTCACACCCTGGCACACTGCGCTCCTGGCCACCATCGCCGTCGTTTGGGAAGGAGAACCCCAATCCCTGGCACCTGGGCTTGCCTTGCCCGACCATGCTTCCCTTACTCAGTTGAGCACCCTCCCCCCAAATCTGGAGACATCACTGCACCCTTCCAGGCCCTGCACAGCCTGACACAGCCAGGCCTCCTTGTCATCCTGCCACCACTCACCTCGTGGACCATGGATAGGAAAGAACAGGAGCTGAGGGCCTACCCAGCTTCTGGGTCCTGAGTCTGTTGGGCCCTAGGCCTCAGGCCAGGAGGGTGGCACAAGAGTCTGGGGGCCAGCACCTGAGCACTGGACAGAAGGTGGTCTGGCTTTCTGCTCAGCACTAGGTGCCACACTGGGTGAAGGAGGCTTGGCCCTGGATCCCTGGAGGGACCAGGGGCGTGGGAATGTGGGGAGGGGGCTTCCTCTGCTGCCCCCTCCTAAGCCTGGCAGTCTCAGGAGGCTGCCTGTCTGTCCCCAAGGATGTTGGCTGTGCTGACCACGTCCTCTCCCTCCTCCCAGGGCCTTCGCTTTCTCAGGAGCTGGGCCCTGCCTGCCCAGGGCTACCCAGACTCCAGAAAAGCTTTGAGAAAGGGAGGAGGGAAGGTGGACCATTCAGCTTTCTGTAGGTCAGTTCAACAGGGCTGTGGAATCATGAGGTCGTATATCTACAAAATGCACCTTTTTAGAGTTTTAGTTCCCTAGACCCAAGTAATACGTAACCAATGCAAAGTGTGCACAGGGCATAAACATAAACATAAACATATCACATGTGAGAACCAGGTTAATTTCTTCCACTGCAGAGCGGAAACAGGGAGAAGATGGGTGGGCAGCCCAGAGGCAAATGCAACCAGCAGAGGTAGGATTGGGACTGAGTCAGGGCTCCCTCTTACATGACTTCTGTGGTCTCCATGAGGGATTTGGATGCAGAAGTGGGTGAGAGAAGCAGGTGCTCCGCAAGCACTTGCATTTCCCCAGCTGCCATCCCGAACTCGCCCCTCAGCCTCTAAATCTACCCCCTCCTCACCTCCCAGGAAGGCACCAGACCTGCCTTGTGCAGGGAGTGCTAAAAGAGTCCCTATACCCTCAAAGTTGCAGAGGAGAGCAAAGTGGGGATCACTGACCTCCTCAGGGCCAGGCAGCATTGGGAAGTCAACCTTTAAATGACCCCATGGAGCATGGACAGACCCATCAAAGACCTCAGGAGGCACCAGGGCCCCAAGCATGCCCTTTCGGGAGGTGTCTGTCCCAAGCCTGCTGGGCTCTACAGTCCTTCATTTTGATCCCCTCCTACTTGGAACCCATTAGCAAAGCATCCCAAGAGATGGAAGTGAATGTGGGCCAGGTCTAAAGTGACCCCTACCCCACGCCCAACTGCAGTCCCCTGGGCCAGCTAGGAGGCCCTGATTCTTCCACTCTCAGAACTTCCAGATGACCTAGTTTCCTTTGTATGTGTGTGGTCACCAGATGTCATATCATGATGTCACTGGCCCTGTGTTTGTCAGCTTGGTAACCAATTTGCTGTCTCCTCCACTGTGGCTCCCCAGCCGATCCGCTTTTGCCCTGTTTGCCCTGGCGCCTCTCCCGTGTCTGTTCTGTAACAGGGACACTCCAGTCAGAGCCTCTCAGAACGGAGTGGCAGACAGAGGGGTCACACGAATTCGGACACTTCAGACCCTTGGCCAGAGCAGGAATCCCCCCTAAAAGGTGACAGCGGGGCAGCAGGAGCGTAGTTGTGGGTATGGGAGTGAATAAATCTTGAATGAAGGGGACTGGTAATAGAGTGGAGGTTGTGGATGGGCAGCAGGGAGTATGAGTCTTGAAGGAAGAGGGGTTTTGAGGTGGGTAAACATGTTTATGAGGTGGGGACCACGAATGCCAGGGGCTGGTAAGGGAAGTGTAGTCTCAACCACCAGGACCCTTGTCACCTGTGCCCTCCGCCCTGTTTATGGGCATGGCAACTCTGGCGCCTACCTCCTACCTCTGCTGCAGCCCTGATTTTTCAGATGGGGACCAGCAGAGTCTTAGGACTGGCATGTGTGGAGTCTGTCTCTGAGGACCCGAATACTCAGGTAGTAGGGGCTTACCCCTAGGTGTTGCTGCCCTGAGCCCCACTGGCGGCAATGGGAGTTCTGGCTTAGAGTGCAGACCAGCCTGTGCTCAGCAGCCCATGGGGCCAAGCCTGAGCTGTGAGGGGCTTTTAATCCCCAGTGGCCTGGGGCAGGGTAGAGCTAGCCTTCCTCACTGTCAGGGAAGCAAGAGTTCCCAGTGTCTGCATCCTTCCTCCCCTGATCAGCCAACAGCCTAAGACTGGAACCCACCTCTGTACCCATGCCCAGGGCCTAACCCCTAGAGACCCGGGACGAGCCGCCTGCCCTGCCCACGGCAGCAGCCATGTCAGGGCCTCCAGCCCTTACGGAGGGGCCGGCTGGAGATGCTCATGGGCCCTCCTGCTCTCCCAAAGCTAAGGGGTAGTGGAGTGCTGAGTCCCTGGACACAACCTCCTGGGTATGTGCCCGACCCTAACATGGCCCCACTCTATCAACTTTCTAGGCCTTATTTTGGGGGACCTGGGCCCCTCCCTCGATTTTATCAATTTGTCTCCATTTCCGGAATCAAGAGTGGAGATGAAACTAGCTTTCCCACCCACTTTTGGGCAAATCCCACCTCCAGACCTGGAGCAAGATCCCGCCCGGGCAGCTTGACCTGGAAGCCTGCCTGCCTACCTGTGTCCAAAGCACATTCATTTTTTAGCCCTGGGCCCTTGCCCCTTGAAATTCTTAACCCCCCACCCCACGTGTTTCCCCACAGCCTGCCAGGATGTCTCTTTGTACCCGATAAGCTTCCCTGATAACCATCTTTCTGTCTGTCCCTGTGTTCGCTGTACATACCTTGTTGCTGTACCCCTCCTCCCTGCATACACCCCTTTACCCCATTGGAGAGAAACCTCTCTAGGGAAAGGCAGGGTGGCTGCACCCAGCGACTAATCCAAATGGCAAATATTTTGTAACAAAATAGCCCAGAGGTATTTTATCTGTTCAATTCATAGAGTTTTAGAGATTATATTGAAATATGTCACTTGAGCAAACTGTGTCGGTTGTGTTTCTTTTGTTCTCCACGTGTCTAATTGGTGAGAATCTGAAGCAAGAGGACATTGTGATGCCCTCCTCCCTGTGGTGTTTGAGGAGCAGCTGGGCTTCCCGGCTGCTGTTCTCTGGCCATAATGACATCATCTCTTTATCCCAGAATGAGGCACTTCCAAGCCACGATGTGACAAGACTAAGAAGCCCTGTCTTAAATTAATGAGGCTTGGGTAGAGGGAATCATTTGATGGTGGGCACTGGGTCAGAGCTGGGGGTACAGGTCCAGGGAGTGCGCTCGCTCGCGCGCGCGCGCTCTCTCTCTCTCTCTCTCTCACACACACACACACACACACACACACATACACACACACACACACTCAGCTTTGAGCCAATAGGAAGAGAAGGTTATAATGGAGACCAGGGCCAGCTTTGGAGGGAGGAAGCACCATGCGCCACTGTGCATCCAGCAGAGTGAGAGATAAGGGCCTAGGACCCCATCTACCCTGCTTGGCTTTTTGTAATGGAGAGTGAGAGTATGCTTTGGGCTCAGGATTCTACTGACCATGTTTGATTATCAGCCTCAGGTGATTTTCACCAGACATCAGCTCCCAAAGCCTGACCTAATCACAGGGTCTAATAAGCCCTGGGATATATACTCTTCCTGCAATGGAGGAGGCGTCAGACTCAGGTGAAAGGATTGGCGGACTATTGCTGGGAAAAGTGCATGGAGCCATAGAGTGCAATGGAGAAAACGTTTAGTGAGCCCCATAGTGTGCCAGGTACTTGCTGGTTGCTGGAAGAAATGCCAAGATTCTGCAGAAGGATATAACAACAGCCGAGTGGCTATGATGCAGGAGAGCAAACTGAAATCAGGGCTAGAAAGAGACACAAGGTGCTTGGCAAGCATCCATAGTTATGTGCAATGCTCACATCAGGCTCCATGAACAGGGGCTTGACACAGAATGATTTCTCCTGGCAGGGGAGAGAGGAGAGAATCTTCCAGCAAAGCTAAGGCATCGGAGGCACGGCTGCGGGAGAAAAGCAACTGGCCAGGATGGCTGGTCCAGGGACACCTGCAAAGAGAGCATCCAGCTTTTCTGGTGACTGAAACTCTGAACACTCAGAAATCTCAATAGCTCCCCAAGTGAAAGGCAATGTGACCTCACCCTCCTTCCAGGAAACAGGAAATTCCACGAGAAGCCTGGGGCCAGCTATGACCTGTCCCATCCCGGGAACTCTTTGACCCAGGAAGCTGAGAGCTGGCCCCTTGAGAGCATCTCTGAGGGGACCCAGCTCAGCTCAGGCCTGGGAGAGGGCCAAAGGCCAAAAGGGCCTGCTGCTGTCTGAGGATGTGGGGCGGTGCCACCATTCTCCAAGTCTTCTGGTCCCTGAGGTAATCTAGAAGGAAGGGCCACCTGTCTGTCCAGTAAGAGAGGGATAGAACCCTGTGGTGTTCCAGGCCTCTCTGGGTCCAACTGCCATAGGGATGCAGAGCTATAGTCAGTACAGCTCCCCTGTAGTGACTCTTTAGATGGTGAAACTCAAAATCATCAGCCATCGACTTGGAATATTTTCAGTAAGGTGGCTGGAATTTATGGGTTTCTGTCTGAGAGTAATGGGCCAGAACAAGATGCCAGTGAGAGAAATCAGAGAAAATTCAACAAATTCATGAACACCTGGCATGCACCAGGTTCTGATCTAGGTACTGGAATATGCAGTGAACGAGACAAACAATGTTCCTGTTCTTGAGGAGTTCCCATTAGTGGTGCCATCAAAAATCAACGAATGGACAAAATGTTTCC